TTAATTAAAGTTAAACAGCTATAAAAGGCCAGAATGAGAATATTTTATGTTTAAAATGTATTTTTATGTGGGATGTAGGTTGCGTTGAAGGTGGAGGGGGAGGGGGGCGGTCAGTGGATGCTGGTACTTATTAACTACCTAAAACTCAGATCAAATGGTGAATAAGAATATTATTTAAATACTTCAAAAAATCTATGGTGCCCTTCGGTTAATGCTGCTCTAAGTTTAACCAGTAAAGCAAACCTGACAGTTTGTAAAGTTTGCTGGTGTGCATAATAGTTAAATATGAACAGTGTATAACCATTTGGATTGAATGTACAGCACATAAATAGGCCATTCAACCCAACATCCAGGCTGGTGTTTATGCTCCACACAAGCTTCTCCAATCCCTCTTCATTTAACCTAATCAACAATTCTTTCTATTCCTTTCCTGCTTGTGTTTTTATCTAGATTCCTGTTTGCCTCATCTGCTGTCTGTGATAGTGAGTTCTACATTCTCACTAAAGAAGTTCCTCTTGAATTCCCAATTAAATTTATTAGTGACTACTTACTTCTGGTCTCCAACACAAGTGGCAATTTCTTCCCTATCTGTATCAAATCTCTGCATAATTTTATAGACTTTTATCAGGTCACCCCTCAGTCTTCATTTTCCTAAGGAAGAGAGACCTGGCCTGTTTAACCCTTCTGAAAGTTACAAAATTGAAAATCTTTTTTTTGCACCTTCTCCATTGCCTTGAAATCCTCTTTTTAATATGGAAGCCAGAACTGTGCAAGAAAATGTTGTGGTTGGGATAATCTTTCATCTCTTGGACAAAGGGTTTTAAGCCAACTCGGACTAATGACACAAAGATTGTCTCCTTGTTGACTGTAATTATGTCATCATGAAATAAAAATGGCCTATTGGTCATAGCTCCTGAGCATAAAGAGGCGTTCTTTCTAGGGGATCAGAAGCATGGCTGGTGTTAAAAGTGGCACTGTCATATTGGTGTTGGAGCACAAGCTGTATTAAAGTATTTCTGAGTAAAGTAAGAGGACCCCCTTGTTTTATGTAGGGCCCTGCTCTTCAATTCATGTTACTGACCTTTACAGTCATGGAGGTTGTAATTGAACCTGCTCCTCCTCTAGTAGCGTGTCCAATGGTGATCATCCAGTAACTAGGATGGGAAGCCTGGCTGATGGGGGTTGAGCTGTTGAATCCATTTGTGTTGGCAACCAAACACAGATGGAAAAAATGTAAATGGATAAGTAAATGTTTCAACAAAACAATGTCACTGCAAACTTTTGCCTCCCTGAAAGAAATAATCTTTCATTTTATAATGCTTTCATGACCTCAGAACATCCCAAAGAGCTTTACAGCCAATGAGGTACTTTTAAAATGTGGTCACTGCTAAAATGTTGGAGTCACTTCAGAGATATCAATATGATAATAACCACATAGTCTGATTTTTTTAGTGACAATGATTGAAGGATAAATGTTGTCCAAGACACTGGGGTTGATAGCTCCTTTGTTAAAATAATGGCCAGAGAATCTTTTGCATACCCTGAGGAATCAGATGGGACCTCTTTTTAACATTGCATCCAAAAATTGGCACTTTCAACAGTGCAGCACACCCTCTGTGCACTGGACTGTCAGCCTATATTTTTGTGCTCAAGTCTGTGGAGTGGGACTTGAATGCACTATGCTCTGACCAAATGTGAGAATGTAACCCACTGAGCCTCATTGACTGTGAGTGACTTATTATTTCTGGCAATGTTGAGGCATTTTTGGTCGGGGCATCAGGTGATGGATCCATTCCAAAGGTTGGATCATTGACTCAGCTGTATTGGGGTTGTTCCAACATTTAGATCTATGACGAAATAATGTCTGTCAAAAGCAGAAAGTAAACTCCATGATTATGGGCAATCCTGGGCCATAAATACACAGAACATCCGAACACCTCACATAGACACAAAACTCTGAGGCATTTTGCATGAACAAAAAAGCTCATGCACAAATAGGAGATAGCTATCTCACACAGATGTATATGGATGCAAGTTAACAAACTCCTTTAAGTCAAAGGCAAGAATTGTAATATTTTGAGAACTAGTAATCTACTGTACCTACTGACTTAGTGCTGGTAACACTTTATGCCAACAGGGACAAGCTTGTAATAAAAAGGTGCCATAAAACACTTTGATACTTGTGACACATAATGTGGGACTAGTGGGCATTTAGAGGATTAAGTAATTGATGTCATTTCTTTTACATATACTTATTGTTAAACTTTATCTTCTCATAATCAGCAGCTACATCCATTTTCCTTGTCCAATTGAATATAATGAGACAGAGGTTTGGATTCAACAACTGTATTCCTCTTCCTTTGTACAGATGATGGTCTAGCACTCTTGAATTAACATTAACTTGAGTCCTGTTACTTGGATGTTTGAAGCAGCTATTCTGTTTGAGAAATGCCAGCAATAAAATTTGCAGTTGAAAAGACTAGTTTCTGGTTTAACATGTTTACCAAGCAAACCGCTACTTTGCTTCAAGCATGGCCTCAAGCTATAGCACCACCGATGGTGCAAGAGTAAGGTCTTGCATTTGCTGTTCTGACGCTTTGGATTTTCTTCTCCCTGAAGTTGTCTTCTTCACATTCCTCCCAGGAAAGGCCTGTGGATAGCAAGAAGCAATAAGAATGCTGAACTGTTTACTCATTGCCCCTACCCCACCTCATTTATTCAAGAATGCTAATATGGGTTGTAGCACCACAATGGTAGTCGCACAATGCAACCACAAGAGAGTTGTTGACAATAGGAGCAATTAACCTTATTTTAATTAGTGTACAACAGATCCAGGCATGAGGCAAGGTCACTCTCTGTAGTGTAAATATTTGGGAAACGTCAGCCCAAAAGTTCTGGGCACTCCCAAAATGTTGTGTTAGAAACATAGGAATAGGAGAGAGCCATTCAGCCCTTTGAACCTAGTCTGCAATTCAATAAAATCATGATTGATCTGTGACCTAGCATCATACATCCCTCTTTGCCCCATATCTCTAAATAACTTTGATTCATTATTTTCCAGTCTCTCAGTTTTATATTATTTGCCACTTGCAGGAGAGAACTCCAAACGTCACCTCCCCTTGTGTACAATAATGTTTCTGAATTATGTGTGTAGGTATGTTCTTGTGATTTTTAAGACCATGTCCCTAGTCCTAGCTCCTCCATTCAATAAGATTGTGGCTGATCTGTTTGTGTTTCAAATTTCTCATTTACTCCTGATGACCATTGATTCTGCTACCTTTAAAAAACTATCTATGTTTGTCTTAAAATATTCATTGACTTCAATCATTTAACATTTTCTTGGATCCCAATTAGCAGAGAATTTCTTTGCCTTTGAAACTCTCTCCTTTACAGCCTCTGTCAATTCCTACCCTTTGCATCCTACCCTCCTCCTGCTTCCATCTATCTTACTCCATCACCTGTTTACTCCTTTTAACATGGCCACCTTCCACCATTCTTTGGAGATTCCTTCATTGCTCAAATCCCCTACTATCCCCTGGATACAACTGCCCCCTCCCAAAACAAAAAGAAACCGACCTGCCGGATGTGTAAAAAGATGCCTGGGCAAAAGGTTCTTCAATCCCAGCCAGAGGCTTGTGGCAAGTGGTTCTTGGCCTTTGCTCTCGGGCTGCCAGGCCTTGGCAAAAGGCTCCCTGGTAACTCCTTCAATGCTAGCTGACTTTCCAAAGTGCTGGCTGCTCTTGCACTTATAGGCCCTTTCTCTCTTATCCTCCCTGCCGTTAAGCTCCCCAGAAAGTATAGAAGACAACCAGCTGGTAAATAGAGGTGCAGCTTCTTGTCCTTTCCTTTTGTTCTATTTATGGGGTTCACCTTTCTTTGGTTACCCCTACGAGTGTATTTTCCCAGGCTATTCGGGGACTTTCAAAGGTGGATCCACCTGCTGGCTCAGTGCATTTTGAGTGTTGTCTGAATCTTTTGACCTTAAGCTCTGAGGTTCTTTCCCTAAACCTTTCTGATGCCCCTATTCTTTAAGAGGACCAACTCCCCCTTAAGACCCAGATCTTTGACAAGCTAACATTAAAATCCCTTTGTGTGGCTCGGTGTCATTTTTTTTGTCTGATAGGGAACCACTAAAGCACCTTGGAATGCTTTTCCTGTGTAACAGGTGTGAAAGTTATCAGGGTTTCTGAAGAAGGGTCTAGGCCCGAAACGTCAGCCTTCCTGCTCCTCAGATGCTGCTTGGCCTGCTGTGTTCATCCAGCTCTACACCTTGTTATCTCTAGGGTTTTCTTAAGAGTGGTCCAACTGAGATCCTACACAATGTTATGACAAATCAACAGGAAAGGCACAGGAACAGTAAGATAGAACTTTGTTTCCTGAAGAATTGACTTCTGTTGGTTTGCTCTGTGTTGTGCATCATATTTAATATTAGGTCTGACAGTGATTGCTCAGAGATTGCTGCAGTTGCACCCCGGGTCAGCTTAACTGTTCTATGCACGTCTCGTTTTGAAATGTACTGTGTTCTAGCTCTCAGTGTGAATTTAATGCTGCCAAGGTGCTATAACATGTATGAAACCTGTCACAGCCAAGTAATTTCTCCAAGGATTTTGAGTGCATGTCTGCAGCTAGGCTGGTTTATTGGGATTTGCTTTTTTTTTGACCAGAAAATTCAATACTATCTTTCATTGCATTCTGACACTGGGCAGCATTATGAAATACAGATTGCTTTTATTTTGGTAACAACTGAACATTTCTTTCAGAACTAAAAGAAAAACGCCAAATACCAAAAATATAGAACTAAAATCAGAACATGCTTGCAACTACAAATTGCTTTAGCAGTTTGATGATAAAGACAGAAACATTTGGAATTGAAGCACTGTGCATTTTAGAAGTGATAATTTTCTAAATAATGGAGTATTATAAGTATGATTGTCATGGGGCTGTTGCTAAGGCAAAATTTGTTGCTATTATAAATCTAAGAAATGTAATTATCTCCACAGGCTGATGAAGGTGTCACCTTCATTGGACCCGACACACATGCAATTCAAGCCATGGGAGACAAGATCGAAAGCAAACTAATAGCTAAGAAGGCAAAAGTCAACACAATCCCTGGCTTTGATGGAGTGGTCAAGGTGAGGCTTCTAGAGTTCTGTCAGACTAATCTGGCATTCATTAAGACTGATGTGACTGAATTGTCATTTTGAAACATGCTTTCTAATACAGATCATAGACCAAGCTGGCGTATGCCAGCTTTTAAAAAGATCTATCTAATTAGTTCTACTTTCCCTGCCCTTTTCCTGTGACCTGACATGTTTTTCAAGTGTATGTACATTTTTGCATAATGGTCTTATGGCACAGTGGTAGTGTTCCTACCTCTGGCCCAGAAGGTCCAGCTTCAAAGACCACCTGCCCTGGAGGTATGCCAAAATGTATCCGTGCAGATTGATTAGTATAATTAGTATTGGGTTGGAAGGTTTATGAAGAATGAGCAGGAAAGTTGAGTTGAGGCTGCAATGAGGTCAGCCATGATCGTATCAAATGGCGGAGCAGGCTTGAGGGGCTGAATTACCTCGACCAGCTCCTAGTTCTTACGTTCTTATTATTGAAATGACAATGTGCATCTTGGCTTTGAAGGTTTATTGTTCAATCTGCTTACACCACCTTTTTGGACAGTGTAATCCAGATTGTAACTAGTCACAGTGGAAAAAGATTTATTCTAATCTCCTTTCAAGTTTTATAATGGTTGCTATAAGGTAAACAAATCCAGCTACTCTAGTCACAGAATTATTCCAAATGAGCAATAGACTTAGTGCATTTTCTCACCTTCTCCCCTTCACACTGTACATTCTTACTTTTCAAATAGCAGGCTTAACCCCCTTTTGAATGCCTTGATTGAACCTGCCTTCACCACATACTCAGGCAGTGTATTTCAGACCATAACCGCTCGTTGTGTGAGAAAAGAGTTTTCTTATGTCACTTTTACTTCCTTTGCCAGTTACTTTAAATCTGTGCTCTCTAGTTCACAATCCTTTGACAAGCACAATCAGTTTCTCCCTATCTATTCATTCCAGGCCCCTCGTGATTTTGTATACCGCTAACAAATCTCCTCACAGCCTTCTCTTATTCAAAGAAAACAATCCTAGCTTCTCCAATTTATCTTTGTAACTGAAATTGTAAATTATTGGACCCATTTCTTATGTATCCACTCATTGGTGAGTACAAATTACTCAGTGGAGAACTGATGCAGATAATGTATAGTAGGTAATTAATGTTAAAAATTATATGCTAACAATTATTTTTGGACAAAATTTCAACATTGTAAAAGTTGATTACTTTGACAGAAATTTTCATATTTGGGTAAGTTTGCATATATGTTGATAATCGTTCTGTTCAGAGGAAAGAAGGTTAAGGGATTATTTGTTAGAGGTGCTCAGAATAATGAGGAGTTTTGATGGAGAAAATCAAGCAAAACTGTTTCGAATAATGGATTGTGGTAGGGGTAGGGGAGGTCATTAACCAGAGGGGAGAGATTTATGGCAATTGACAAAGAACCACATAGGAGATAAGAAACAAAAACAGAAAGTACTGGGAAAACTGAGCAGGTCCAGCAGCATCTGTGAAGAGAGAAACAAAATTAATGTTTCGGGTCAAGTGACTCTTTATTAGAACAACGGTCACTGGATTGGAAATCATAGAATCCCTACAGCATGGGAACAGGCCCTTCGGCCCAACAAGTCCAAATGTTATATCTGTTTTTCTCCCCACAGATTCTGACAGATCTCATGAGTTTCTCCAGCACTTTCTGTCTTTGTTTCAGATCTCCAGCATCTTGTAGTTCTTTGTTTTATTTTACATGGAGGAAATGATTTTTTTTTGCTTAGCAACTCGTTTTGATCTGGGATATGCCTGAAAAGACAATGGAAGCAGAATTCATAATAACTTTGAAATGAATATTTGGACATATACTTGAAGAGAAAAATATGCGGGACTATGGTGAGAGAATAGGAGACTGAGATTATTGGGTAGATCTTTTTAATAATTGAAACAGGCGCAATGGGCCAAATGACTTGTGTGCAGTGAGACTCCATAATGCTGCAACAAAGTCTAATGTGCCTGCTATAATGCTAAGATAGTGCACACCTTGCCCAAAGAGAGGTTTTTCTCTTTACATGTGTTTAACTCTAAAATTTACTCCAACCTTGGAGGGCTTTCTAAATCTTTAAAGTATTTTTTGCCTGTTATGAGTTCAGATACTGCAGCAAAACAACTCAAACATTCCTTAGTTAAAGCATAATGCTAATGAAAAGATGCAATTTGCAAATGCAAAGACAATTCAGAGTGTTTCCACTTAACTATAAATGGAGGAATGCCATCAGCCTTCACTTCATGCATTGAGTTCAAGAGGCTCTAATTGTCTGCATTTGACTGGTTTAACACTTCCTGAGAGAGTGGCTATTAAGGCAAAGTATTCTCGCATAACTGTCATCGAGTCGAACAAAGGCACTTGAAACTCAATGTGTGGAAACCACTAACATGCCTAAATTACCCTCCTTTGATTTTTTTTCGGAGTCCCTTCAGCTAAAATGGTAGAAGGTGTTTTCCCTCTGTGGAAGCAAGGTAGCTGGAGAGTTTTGTAAAGTCATCAGCTTTTAAAACAAAATTTGTTCTCCAGGAAAATTATTATTCTTAGAAAAACATACCAGTTAACACTCTCAATTATTCTGAGAAAAGAACCTTAAACAGATACTCCTTTCAGGTTTGCTTTGAACTTAACAAGCACTGATTTGTGGAGCAGACAAGCTAATGAAAGGAAATTAAAATTTCTGCCAACTTCCCCACCCCCATTCTAACTTGCTTTCTGTTACTTCTTATATGTTTTAATATATAATACATATTTTTAAAGGAGTTTTTTTTAGTCATAGCTAGGAGCACACTTTTCTGTTGCTATACGGATAATTTTGTCAAAGACTTGTATTTAACATCAATTGGTATCTAGTTGTCAGATCATATTGTGCACGCAGCTTTAAAAACTATTGAGTTTCATTTTAATGTTCATAAGTCAATCCCTGTAGCTTTAACCACTGGTGGTTTCCAGACACCTCTTCCAACATTTTGCTGCTCAGCTGTTTTTTCTTCCCAATAAAAAGCAAATCCCAGAAAATATAATTTCCTTCTGAAATATATAAAACCCAGTTAATTAATGCTTAGAATTGTAGTGTTATAAATTTTCTTAAAATGGATCCAACAGGCAAAAACTAAATTGGCCCTCTCTTGTCTCTAATGTCCCCTTTCAGAGCAGTTTTCCAAAAAAAGCAAGATGTAATGCTTCTGCAGACTTTTAAGTGGACTTTGTTTTAGTATTTTATGAACACTTTGCTAAGTGTGTTTAGCTGATTTTTTTTTGTAGCTTTCCATGTTCCATCAGAATGGATAAATAGAAACAGGAAACATCTTGGTGTACGGTGAAAGGAATAAAAGCCAAATTTGTTAAGTCGTGAAAGTGACTGTTAATGTCTCCAAGAATAATTTATTTGCGAAATGACTGAGAATCATAAGAGCACATGATTGCTCGAAGTACTGTCACCAGAACTGTAGACAGTCCACTCCCCCTGCTGTCAATTAGGTGACAGCACAGTTGGTTGAAGATAAACATACACCAGTGGGCAGATACTGCAAAGGGTGATTTACATTTCACAACTGACTGAAAACTATTTTTTGCAGCATTGGAATCCACCGAATAACATTGCTAAACTGTCAAGTGATTTGGTTATTTTGCTTCATTTGTGTTAATTTCTTTTTTTAGAAGTTTTGAGAAAATTATATTAAATGGCAATTTATTGGGGGGGTGGTGGGGAAGAAAACTTATGAAATGAGCATACTTAAGAATGGTGAGTTATCTCACAAAATAGGGACGAACTAAGGTTTCAACTAGATTATTCCAAAGGTTAGGGATTTAGAAGAACAGTGGCAAAAGCTTTCTTCATCTTCAATAGTGAAATTATTTCTGTGTTTGTCTGAATGAGGAAACATGGTTGGATTGGAAATGTAACATAAAATCTGACCATGGTGTCAGTGGTACAATATATAATTGTTGCCTTGAGGGGAAAAGACAGAGGTTGACAGGAGTTATATTTTGTCTTTTTCCTGCTCTTACAGGATGCTGATGAAGCTGTCAAAATTGCCAGGGAAATTGGTAACATATTAAGTTTAACTATCATATCACTGATTTAATTATAGACGTATGCATGTGTAATTGTAACTGTAATTTGCGTATATATACAACTTGCTTTTTAAAACTGATGGCTGTTGCTAATTTAATCTTGGAAAATGAGGACAAATAGAAAGTATAAACTCTTTAGTGAAATATTTGTTTAGTTGCTTTATTTTTGGCATTAGTATTTTAATTATTCAATATAATTTTTAACATTTTGCAGTTTGTTTATATTCTCTCCAAGATTCTTTATGGCCATTTAATTTGTTTAGGTTCCTTCCATTTCCTTAACCTGTCGCTGACTGAGATGCATTCATTGCAATTTGACAAAAAGCACGTAATCTCAGTTCTTGGTGGGTCCCACTTTGCAACTGGCCATGAGATGATCTGATAAGAATTGCCCAAGGGCCATATGTCTGTTTCCTTGCTTCATTACCCCACCCCACCCCACCAACCCCATTGCAAAGTGCCTTGCCCTTGCTTGGTGACTGAACTGTGATAAGGGATTCAACATTGGGATTGGTTCAAGTGCATACCTGCACCAACTAGTTTGTAGTAATTCCCATGCTTGTGGAATAAAAAAAATGTTTTTATTTTGACATACCGTTTCTACTTGTACAGTTCTTGTTCACCTACCATAGGACTAACAACGCTGAAGTATCATCACCTGGATTAATTTTTGCTGTAATACTAGTTACAGTGTGGAAATAGGCCATTTGTCTCTGTTGCACAAGTCTGCCCCCCTAACTTGATTTCATTTCTGCATTTATCTTTGTGTTTCTTTCTCCCTCATGCATTCCATTCTCCCTCTAGTACTTGTCTGGTTTCCTCATCAGTGCACGTATTTACAAAGTACAAAGATGTAAATTATTACTATTCTTAGTCAATAATAAACATAAAGACCAAAAACGCTAGTTAATCAATGCTGTTTTTTTATTATTATCTTCTTTGGATTTGGGAGGAAGAGGGATGGCTGGAAGGAGGAAACAAGTTACTGGTGTCCAAACTAACAATCTTATTGATTGGCGTACCCAGTGAATCAGTGGTGAGATGGGAAATTACACTTCAGATGCTATAACCAGAGTTGATGCACCAAGATTTAGGTAAAGGCAGGAATGATACTCTTGGTGCGGGATGTACTTTAATATACATTCCAGTAAACCAGTTGTTGGCTCCAGCGTTTTTGGACATATGGTCAGCTGTTATGCTCACATGACCAAATGATCAAAGTCAGTACTTCTGTCTAATTGTCCCCTGCTGCTAGGCTACCCCGTCATGATCAAGGCCTCAGCAGGAGGCGGTGGGAAAGGCATGAGAATAGCCTGGAATGATGATGAGACCAGGTGAGGCCATATTCAGAAAATAACGGGCAAAAAACCCCAGTCGGTTTCTGAGAGAGGTTTTATTGTGTAATTACGATTTTGATATTGGAAATATATTAAGAATGAAATAGGATGAAATCAACTACCTGTTTGCACAATGTTTGGCTGGGATTTGAGACAAGTGTTGGAGTGCTGGCTGAGACAGGCATTTAACATAAACAGAGCACCACAGGCAGGTTAATTTTGTTTATTTTGTTTGAGAGGCTGCTGTTAAAGCAAACAACTTCGTGTGTTAGCAAAACTCACTGGAATGTCATTCACTCCTCTCAGCCCCTGTTTGCTGAAACCTGCTTTGAGCCAAATGCTGCATTTGCTATACCTACCTCTCTCTCATCATCAGAGGCTGTGTGGAAAATAGGAGGAGACAACACCCAAGATGCAGCAAACAGGAACTTGAGCACAAGAAACAAACCAACTCCATTTGTGCCTGTTCTCTAACATGATGTGACTATCACGTTGAAGTTAGACATAACTAAATTAATCATAAACTAGTTTTAAACCATATTAAAGAATACTTTTGCTTTTAAAATAATAGCTTGACTTGAATTGAATTAGCATTATTGTCACAGCAGATAATTTAAAATTATTAAATGGAAAACATGATACATAATACACTCATATTGCACTTAAATAAGACATCGGGCTCGCTGTGTGCTGTTTGCCAGATTTGCATACTGAGTACCTTCATAGAAAAATAAGGGAAGCTGCAGCATGAACTGCTTTTGAGTGGCAGTGACAGTGACTAAGCCCTGATTTGTCCCCTGTCCTCCCTTCCAGTTGATGCTCAGTACATAGTGCTCTTGCCTGAGTGAGAAAGTTTTAGGGCTCAAACCCCACTTGGTGACTTGAGCACAAAATCTACAATGACACTCCCAGCACAGTACTGAGGGAGTTATGAACTGTCCAAAGAACGCTCCTTCAGGCTTGACGTTAAATTGAGGCTTCATCTGCTCTCTCAGGTAGATGTAAAGGATCCCAAGGCACTATTTTGAAGAGGAGCAAGGGAGTTCTGCCCAGTGTTCTGGCCAAAATCACTAATCGTGCATCACATTAGAGATTGTGGGATCTTGCTGTGTGCAAATTGACTGCTGTTTTTTCTGCATTACAACATTGACTACACTTTGAAAGTACTTCATTGGCTAAGTGCTGCGGGATATCATGAGTTTCTTACAGATGCAACAAGTCTTTTCTTCATGTTAAGGTTGCTGGATGAAATTTTGGACAACTATGGGACTTTAATTTTGTTTATGGCTGTCAGATATGAACAATAATTATTCAAAGTTCTTTTGATACTTATCTTAAATCTGTGTCCTCTGATTATTAACGTCCGGCTAAGAGAAATAATTTTTGCCTTATTTGGTTGGTTAAAACCCTGAATTCAATATCCCCTTAAACATATCTGCCTTAAAGAGAACAATTGCAGCTCATTCAATCTCTCCACATAACTGGATCCTCTCAGCAATGATATCATTCTTGTTAATCTCTGTACCTCCTCCAAAGCGTTGAAATTCATCCTAAGTGTAATGCTCAATATTGGACAGAATCCTCCTCCTGAAGCCTATACAGTGTTCTACAAAGGTTTAGTATAACTTACTTATCAATTCAATGCCTCTATTTATAAAGCTCAAGACAGTAACATTTTTTAACAGCCTTATCACGGGGTCCTGTCATCTTAAAGATATTGAATGTAAATTGATTGCTAACAGTTGACATCTTATGTTCTTTAATAAATTCCTGGGTAAATATTTTTAATATTCACTCTTTGCATTGCTGAAGGTCGTGAATGTTGGGTAAAAACCGTTAACTTCATAACTGAAACAAAAATAATACACTTAAAAATGTCTTTTAGAGTAATAGGGGACATTTTTCCCTTACCTGGTCTGGTGGAAAAATATGAAGAGAATTTAAAAAAACAAAATCTGGCTGACCAGAAAATCTTTTGCGATTTTCCTCTCAAGCTTCCACATCCTGCTGTATTCTTTGGCAATCCTCCCCACCAGCCACAGAACCTGTGATCTCTGTTTGAATGTATCACCCGCAAACTTACTAATCAGGCCACCTACATTCTCCTTCAAATCATTTTATATGTTATATACAACAGGATCCCAACACTGATCCCTGTGGAACACCACTGGTCACAGGTCTCCAATCTAGAAAACACCCTTCCTCTGTTATTCTGTCTTCTACGACTAAGCCGGTTTTGTGTCCATTTTACCAGCTCACGGCAGATCTCCTATGACTTCACCTTTTGTATCAGCCTGCGACGAGGGACCTTATCAAAGGCCTTTGTTTAAAATCATGTAGACCACTTCTATCGTCCTGTCCTCATCCATTGTCTTTGTTAAAGAACGCAATCAAGTTGATGAGACATGACCATCCCCGCACAAAGCCACGCTGTGCTTCTCTATGAAGTTCATATTTTTCCAAATGGGAGTAAATTGTATCCCTAAGAATTTTCTCCAATAATATCCGTAATCACTGACCTAAGGCTCGCTGACCTGCAATTTCCCAGATTATCCCTGTTGTCCTTCTTAAACAAAGGAACAACACTGGCTATTTTCCGTTTCTCTGGGACCCCTCCTGTGACTAAAGAGGATACAAAGATTTTGTACAAGGCCCCAACAATTCCCTCAGCTGCCTTCCTCAACATTCTGGGATAGATGCCATCAGGTCCTGGGGACTTTTCTACTTGAATTCCCTTCAAAATACCCAATACCACCTTTTTTTTTATATTGGTATGACCTAGATTATCAACATACCCCTCCTCAAATTCACATGTCCTTCTCCTTTGTGAATACCGATGCAAAGTATTTGTTAAGGACCTCGCCCACCTCCTTTGGCTCCATGCATAAATTCCGTCCTTTGTCCATGAGTGATCTTACCCTTTCCCTAGTGACCCTCTTGCTCCTTACATATGTATAAGAAGCCTTGGGATTTTCCTTAATCCTATTTGCCAACTAAGAAATTATGTCCCATGTTCCCTGCAATTTCGACTCTCTCTTCCTTCAGTATCACTATGCTTCTTGTCTGGTCCAAGTCCTTATCGGCCTTAAGTACCGACAGTCTATCCAACACTACTTCCTTATAGGTTTTGAACCCTTTTAGTGATAACGTTTTCTCTTCTTGTCACTGTGGCCTGAGCTGCGTTTACCTCCTTCGGTAAAGATAGATACAAAGTATTCATTTAATACCTCAGTCATGCTCCCTGCCTCCATGTGTAAATCCCCTTTCTAATTCCTAATTAGTTCTACTGTTCCTGGTATCACCCTTTTAATATATATATGTATATACAATTCCCCTTAGCTGCCAGTCTTTTCTCATAATTCCTCTAATATACTTGTTCATCTCCCCTTTGAACATTCCATAATCCTCTTGGCTCTCAATTATATTTTTACCAGACAGAATTCAGGAGCAGGGCTGGATGAACACAGCAGGCCAAGCAGCATCATAGGAGCAGAGAGAGGCTTGATGCTGCTTGGCCTGCTGTATTCATCCAGCCCTGCACCTTGTTGTCTCGGATTCTCCAGCATCTGCAGTTCCTACTATCCCAGAATTCAGGAGCACACTTTTTCTTCTTTATCTTAATTGCTATCTCTTTTGTTATTCAGGGTGGTCTGGATTTGAATGTCTTGCCTTTCCTTTTGGGTGGATGTACCTTGGCATTACCTGAACCATCCATTCTTTGAAGGTAGCCAGTTATTGATTTTGGGTTTTCCTGCCAGCCTCTTGTCCCAGGCTATGCTACTCATCTCTAGTCTTGCCCCATTGAAGGTGACTCTCTGCCAATTAATTTTTCTTATCTGATTGACTAATATTATTCTCCAGCATCATCCCGAACCTTTCGATACAATGATCACCATTCCCTAAATGTGCTCCCACTGACACTTGATCTACTCAGCCCACTTCATTTCCCAGAACCAGGTTCAACAATGCGTCCTTTCTTGTTAGACATGATGCATATTGCTATAGGCAATGATGTGGAATTATTTCACGTGGAGCGTCATGAGTCTTTGGTACCCTCCTCCTGAAAGCGTGGTGGAAGTAGAGAATTTGAATATTTTCAAGCAAAGGTAGATAGCTTCTTGATAAGTGAGGGGGTGAAAGGTTACCAAGGAAATGTGGATTTGAGGTTATAATCAGATCAACCGTGATCTTATTAAAAGGTAGAGCAGGCTTGAATGGCCGAATGGCCTGCTTTTGCCTCTTGTTTGTATGTTCCAATGTAGCCCAATGGCAGGCAGTAAAAGCAGGTGATATTCCTGGTTAGCCATGCAATGGAAAGAAATTTGAGCTATCCATAGCTGCCAAAAACAAAATACATGTAAAATAGTATATTGCCACATTAACTTCGACTGTTTGGGGAGTTGATTGGATGGTCACCATAGATCAGATTAGTACTAACAACATGAGACTTGATCCCTGTACTTGCTAGGGCTGTCTCATGACCTGTGTCCTTGTCCTGTTGGAGGTCATGGCGCTGCGTTGGACCTTTCCAGGGACACAAGTCAAGAAAAAGTTCCCTCAAATGTTTTGAAACCTTCCTGACCATCCTTGATGTATCCTTCGATAACATACCAATCATAAGGCTGCTTAATAAGATAAAATCCCTTGGTGTTGGGTGTAGTATATTATGGATAGAAAATTGGTTAATAGAAGATGGAGAATTGGGATAAAGTGTGCATTTCAGATGGAAACTCACACCTAGTGGACTGCCGCAGGGATCAGTAATGATGCGACAATTATTTACAATGTTTATTAATGACTTGGGCTCTTGTGGTGCAGTGGTAGTGTCCCTAATTTTGAGCCAGAAGGCCTGGGTTCAAGTACACCTGCTCCAGATGTGTGTCATAATGTATATGAACAGGTTGATTAAAAACATCTATATGAATGAATTGGATGCAGAAAGTGAAGGTACTTTTGCTGTGTTTGTGGATGACGAGTGGTGAGGATAGCACATGGAG